CACATCCTGGGCCATCCGACCTCAGGAAATCACATGATAGGGTGGGGCCAGGTTTCACAATGAGCTCACCCGAAACCCTGGCTGATTGTGACCCACACCCGCTTTCACACCTTGGGTCATGTGATTAGGTAGAGGATCATCGGGGGGTCCTTTGTCCCCTTTGTGGGGAAACTCCCACTGGGTTTAAATCTGGGACTCTCCACCATTTGACCCTTAGAACTGAAGAAGCTTCTCGGATGAGAGGTGAAACGTCTTCAAGCAACTCAAGGAAGTCCAGACGCTTTACTTTCCAAGCTCCTTTGACTATGATGACCTGCATGACTGAGACAGACATGTTTCCTGGACTTATTTTTCTGAGATACTCACTGTTGTTACTGTGCGAAATGTTCCTCTTTGGCTCTGGATTTAATTACACGCTGGCTACAGTTAGTAGACAGTACATACTAGAGGTGCAACGGATCAAAAATCTCACGGTTTGGATCGGATCACGGTTTTAAGTCACGGATCGGATCAATTTTCGGATCAGCAAAAAAATTTTAACATTTACTTTATTAGCTTATTTAAGTATTTTTTGCCTATTAAAAGCATTCAACTCAAGACTCATTCCACGCAATTATATAAAAACAAATTAAGGTGCAGTATAGGGCTTTGTATCTAACACACCACTGTGATATAATGAGCGGTCACGGTCACGTATCTTTCTGTTGCTCTGGAGGTCCACCCATTTGTAGTTGGGCAACAGACGATACATGGGACAGTTCAGCCATAACTTTAGACTTTTCCTGCTCATAACATGCCTGGGTACAATCTTGTCACTGAAGCGGACACGCAACGGGATATCATAGCGTGGCTCAAGCATGTTCATCATAGTTTAAACCCCTTGTTTTGCACAACGGAATACGGCCTCATGTCTGGAGCTAAACACCCCAGTAGCTTCTGTAATAGCTTTAGCCCGGTCGGACTGGGCAGCAAAGGGCTGCTTAAATGCAGCAAACTCCTCTGCTCCTCCACTTGGACCGCTAGCGCTGGCCATAACTATCGCTTGACAGACTGACCACACGCACCATACACATACTTTTTTTCCTTCTTTTTCGAATCTTCGGATCACGTGCGTGCCGAACCGTGGAGTGGGGATCGGTTGGGATTATGGATCAACCGTGATCCATTGCACCACTAGTACATACTATAGGTTTTTCCCCCCCAATAATAGAAAGAGAAACTCATTTGTAATCACATTTTAACTTTTTTTTATGAACAAACTCTATCATTTCTGTATTTATACCTCAAGATAGTTATAACACTAAAATTTAAAAGAAAATAT